ACGACTCATTCCTGCCACCTGCCTGTAGGGGGAGGAGAAACAGTAGCCCCAGCCAGCCTCCCTGGAGGCCCCCAGGTAGGAACTTTTGATGTTTGGCCAGCTCATCTCCTGCCATTGTTGCCAGAGCCTACCACAAGCACACTGTGCCAAGTGTCAGGGCGTCAGGCCCAGTGCCAGCTTCTCCCAGTCTGGAAGCCCCCCAGCCTTTGCCCTCTGCATTGGGAGGCACAGGCTGTTTACAGCAGGAGGAGATCCATAACCAGCCTGTGAGGCAGGATGTTGGCTGTGGCAACCTCCAGAAGGGAGCTCCCTGGGCCCCACGGAATCAGAAGTTTCTGGGTCTGGAAAGGCCAACCTTTTGGGCTCTTGTCTCTCAAGCTGTGTCCAGGCTGAGGCCCAAGTCTTGGCCAGGAAGTCTTGGTGACCCTGTGACTTTCCCCAAAGGGGGGTTCCTGGGAGAGGCCAAGTGGTGCCTGTCTTTATCCCTCCCTCTATCCTTCACCCCACAGGGGGACGGGCAGGAGGATTGTTCCAGAGATGGAAGCCTGGGGGAGCACTGATTGTCCCTAGTGCCAAGCCCAGTAGAGGCCAAGAGGGGCTTTTTGGGCCACACACTAAGCTCAGTTCAGCTGAGGTCTTGGTGCTTTCAATTTGGCTGAGGCCACCCTATTCCTCTCTAATTAAAGGCACCCCACCACTACCAGAGTCCTCAGCCTCAGGCCCCTGCCCTTAAGCCAGCTCAGTCCTTAGACTGGTTCATTTCAAGCCAGTGTCCTCTGTGAGGGTCTCTTTTTGAAAGGAGATCAGTGGGGAGAGCTCCCTAATCCAGGAACCCCTGGGGGTTTTAATCTGCATGCAAAAAGAATGACAGGCCAACATTAATAACCATCCTGAGACTTGTGATGTACCTTCTCTCCTCAGGTTCACTGTTCACAATTGGACATTAAGGCCCTGAAATTAAAACACTATTCAAAAATTACAAGGGGTGTTTCTGGCCAAACCAGAAACACTGGGCTCCTGACTCCTAGTCAAGTGCTCCATCTGCACACTCCCAGTCAAGCCCCTTAATTCGACTCCCACCTAATTGGAAGCTCGTCACTGGGGTGCCAGCCTCCTGTTTGCCTGAACTCATGCCCCTCAGAGACCAATTGCTAACAGCTCTCCCACTGACTCTGCAAGTGGTGGAAGTGATACAGGTCCCCTTGACTATCCTTGGGTGGGAGGAGTCCCTCTGTGGCTCTCCGCAGGGAAATCTAGGGGCAGATTTCTGAAGATAGTGGGGTTCTCTGCTGGAAAAACATTAAGGGACACTTGGGAAGAAAACTGGATCCGTTTCCCTGAGACCTATGACCAGGGGATTGTAGGACATCCCACCCTACTTGAGCACTGCTTAAAGTTAAAGTGAAAGAGAGAGACTGGAATCCTTTTGGGAGTGGAGTCTCCTGGGTAGCCAGCCCCATGGACAGATGGGCCAGATCACCTTGGGGATAGCTCACGACCCTCTAACAGGTCTCGGTGTCCTTGGGGGTTAACGGGAGAGGCCAAACAGATCAAGAACCTGTGCTGCAGACAGACTTGGAAGGCTGGTGTTGTGCCCACCCGGGTAGGCAGCGGGCAGGCGTCATGGGGCAGCCAATCAGAGGAGGAGGGAACTGCAGAGAAACCGAGTGATCCTGCTGCAGCTGAGCTGTCCTTGGAGGGTGGGAGCCAAGGGAAGGGGAGGAGGAGGGGGTGGGGAAGGACATTCCACAGGCTTTTTTGGCCCCTGACAGAGACAGGGGGGTCAAATAGAAAGGGAAAGGAGCAAGCCAGGACTCGGGATTACAACAAGAGCATCAAGACCAGGCTGTTTCTGTGTGTGAGGAACTTTGCCTGAGAGATAAACTTAGACCTAGAGCTTGCTGACAGGGAGTCTGAAGCGTGGGACATGGATCGTTCAATGGGATGTCAAGGAAGTTCTGTCCCTGAGGACAGGACTGAAGCTGGGGTAAGGTGCTGCTCTGGGAGATGGGTGGACCTGACCTGTCTTCCCCCTGCCTTGGCTGGAAAAGTCAAAAAATGATATTTAGTCATTGACAGTTGGGGGTGGGGAAGGACAGAAGGGAGGTGAGGACCCTGGTGTCCTGACTCCTTTCCTAGAGCCCTTGTGGGCCCCTCCCTGTTGACAAGCAGCCAGGGCTGGAGGGAGAACGGTGCTGGATTCCTGGTGGCTCTGCTGGAGGTGTGGGGTGGGGGTCTCCATCTGCGCCTTCCCTCTCCCTTCCCTGCTCAGCACCCCTGGGGAAGCCAGTTGGACCACAGTCCTCTCCCACCCTTCCCCCGACGCCCAGACCAACTGCTGGGCCACTGTGGGGTTGTACAGGGGACAGGATTTCCTGGAATTCCCCAGACTGTCTAGCTACCAGAAAACAAGACCTGCTACCCGCCAGCCCCATCCCTTCTCTATTGCCATATAATTCATTGTCTAAGCTGGGACATTTTGAGAGTGGAAAGGGGCGCAATTAATCATTGGACAACAAACATAAACTGGGATGTGTTGTCACTCCACTAGACCCTACAAATAATATGGACAAGAAAGCCTATAAGGTCAGGCTTGCCTCAGCACAGCCTCTTCTGGTCCCTAAGCCCCCACATGCTGGTTCCAGTTTCAGTCTAAAGGGCCTCTTTCCTCCCCCATTTGGGCAAGCCCTGTAGATTTGTCTATAAGCAAGTATGGGGACTTAAGAGGTGACAGCTCTAAGGGGACTTTTCCCCCTAGCCTCCCTCTCAATCCCTTCCCCCTGGCATTAACCTGGCATTATGCATGTCCCCCTTTGCAGTTTTTCCATCTGTAAAACGGGGACCTGCAGGAAGACTGTGGCCATCTTACCTCCCCTGACCCTGGCTGGGACTCCACAGTGGTCCAGGGTAACCCCTGCTGGCTTGGCCATCCCCAGAGGCTGAGTTAGCCTCTGATGCCGGCCCTTGTCCATTGTCTGGGGGTAGCACGTGGCTATTGTGAGGCAGAGCTGAGCCCAGCACTGCCAGGCACCCCACAAAGGGTGCTGCCCCCAAGAGAGAGAGGAAGCTTTTGGGTCTAGAGCTGAGGGTGAGAGTGAGGGGATCGGCCTCTCTTCCAAGCTGGAGATAGGGTGGAACTGGTCTCTACAGAGGAGCCAGCCATTCTCTGTCTACGACCCCTGTGGTTCCCAGTTCAGGACAGATGCCCTCCTGCATTGCTGGGTAAGCCCAGATCCAGGCAGATGGGGCAAGGGGCAACTGAGGGGTGCTTCCCCTTATGTGTCCCTCACAGTTGGGGGCTGTCAGCAGCTCCAGAGGCTGATGTCCTCCCATCCTACATCCTCTGGTCCCTCCCAGATCCCTTCCATCCATACACAGCATTCATTGACAGGTTTACCCTTCTCCCCTGGGTCCCGGGCTCAGGCTCTGGTGTGGCTCATTGTCTGGAATAAGAGGGAGTCAGGTCAGCTGTACTGAGCTCAGGGCAGTGAGCATGCCCAATAGAGTCTGCACAGCAGTCCCAGAGCTCCCTGACCTGCAGTGGCAGAAGGCATGGAGCCCCCTGCTGGTTCTTGATATATAGCTGGCAGGTCCCCTCTCCCCTCCCTCCTGCCCTCTTGCCCCTGCCCCCTCTGACTCTGGGCACTCTCCTTGAATCCTGAGCCACATTTTCCTCTCAGCTCTGATGCCTCTGTCTGCTCCCCCTTATTCAGTCTGACTTTCTGGCCTTTGGGGGAATCCCTGGCCTCAGGCTTGGCCAGACCCCCAGGAAGGGCAGCCTCAACCAGCGCCCTGTTGAGAGGGGCATCAGGACTGAAGCCACTCAGTTCCCAAAGGCAGTTGCTAGGCTTTGGGGCTGCCCAGGGCTACTCCTGGACCCTGGGACCTCTCCTGGCATTTTGGACCTGTGTGAGCAGGTGAGGGAGGGATGGTGAGCACTTCCTCTGCCTTGGCTGCTAGTGCAGTTTCTTTGCCCTCTAACCACAAGCACTTTCCTCTTGCCTTCTCCTGTCTTCCTCCTTCATTCTTCCCTTCCTGCCACCTACCCACCTACCCCACCCCCACCCCCCAGATCAAGCGCTTCCTGGAGGACACGGATGATGCAGAACTGAACAAGTTCGTGAAGGATTTCCCAGGAAACCAGTGCAGCCACCAACCAGAGGCCAAGACCTGGGTGTCAAGGCCCCAAGTTCCGGAGCCAAGGCCCCAGGCCCCAGACCTCTACCAGGATGACCCGGAGTTCAGAACCTCCTTGTGGCCCCAGCCCTCTGACAGTCAGCAGTGCTTCTCTGCCTCAGCCCCTCTCAGCCCCTCAGCCCGGCCCCGCAGCCCATGGGGCAGGCTTGATCCCTATGACTCCTCTGAGGTAGAGCGGCCAGTCCTGTCCTTCCTTTTCAGTGGGCTGGTGCAGGAAGACCCAGGGAGGAAGCAGAGAGAGCCTGAGTGTGTGCGTGTGCATATGCACCCGTGTATGTGCACGCACACATGTTCATGCATGTTGAGCAGGAGCTTCTCTCTGTCCTGTGTTGGCCCCAGCTCTGTGCGTGGGCCCTGATGTGCATTGAAAACTGACTATCAGCAGGAGCAGGAGTCCAGCTGGTGGACTCTGGCACTGTTCCTCTAAGGCTGGCCAGAGACTGAGGAGGGAGGCAGAAGACTGGTGTTGGGTCCTGGGGCCCCTCCTGCCTCTTGCCCTGATGCACTCTGCCTCCCTGGACACTAGGATGACAAGGAGTACGTGGGCTTTGCGACTCTCCCCAATCAAGTTCACCGAAAGTCCGTGAAGAAAGGCTTTGACTTCACCCTCATGGTGGCAGGTAGAGCAGGGGCAGGGCTGGGCTGACCTGGGCTGGGGTGCTTCAGGTAGGGACGGTATGTACCTGGGGAGGGAGTATGGGGAGCGAAGGAGAAAGCTAGCAGCGATCCCTTTTTGCAAAGTAGCTAGGAGCCATGGGTGCCTGAAATTGTGTGCGGGATAAAGTGGTACAAAGAACACTTGACCAGTAGGTTTCTTGTATTTGCCTTTTTCTGGGGGACCTTGGGTGATCTCTTACCTTCTCTGGACCTCCTTCAAATGAGAAGGCTGGACAAGCTGTTTTCTCTGTTTCCTTCCAGCTCTAAAATGCTATGGTTTGGTTGGTCTCTTCCCAATTAGATAAGAAGAAGCTCCCCTCACACCTTTGTCTAGTGGGGTTGCCTCTTGGCTATAGATCTCATCTTCTGATTTGGTAATTCTGTGCTCTCTCCCCTGTCAGGAGAGTCTGGCCTGGGGAAATCCACTCTTGTCAATAGCCTCTTCCTCACTGATCTCTACAAGGACCGGAAACTCCTCAGTGCTGAAGGTAGGGAAAGCTGGGGAGCATGAAGACAGGCAGGCAGACCTGACTTGGGAAAACAAACTCACTTGAGTCTGGGGGATGGGACCTTCCCCAGTACGCAGGAAACCATGGCTTCTAGACACACTGACAGCATCTCTCTATAGGCCTATCTAGCCTGGCAGCCCACCAGCCAGCTCCCTAAAGATTTGGGTGCTGAGGCAGGGCAGGGACCAGAATCCTGCCCTTTGAGTGAGTCTCTGACCTCCAAAAGGATTCCAGGAATCCAAGAAAAGAGCAGAGAGCAACAAGAGGCTGGGGCCAGAGCCAACAGCCACCGGCATTTCCTGTGTTGGGAAATGTGCTCCTTGCTGGTTCCCAGAGAACAGGCCCCCAGGCAGCCTCGGGGTAGGAAGGGGGGCAGTGTGGACAAGGCAGTCTGGGCAGCCAGGCTGGTTAGGGTGGGCAGTTTGTTCTGACAGGGCAGGGCCTTGCTCTTGCCCTGGCCTCAGTTTCCCCCTTCTCTAGAGCGGATCATGCAAACCGTGGAGATCACTAAGCATGCAGTGGACATAGAGGAGAAGGGCGTGAAGCTGCGGCTCACCATTGTGGACACGCCAGGTTTTGGGGATGCAGTCAACAACACAGAGTGGTATGTCTGACCAGGCACAACCCCAGCTGCCTCCCCACCTACCACCCATTCCGTACACACACCCAGGTGCACACATAGGCAAAGACATATTCAAATTTGTCAGGAGGAAGATGTTCGTGGCCACTGCTCCTTACTGGAAGCTGTCTCTGAAAAGTGAGAGGGAAGGATTGAAATAGATGGTCTCTAAAGTTCCTTCTAACTCTGACCTGTAATTCTATAATGGGGGTGAGGACACAAGATAAGAAAGAAGAGCTTCAAACAATCAAACACATGTCAAAACATGTAGAATAGGGCCTGACATGTAGTAAGTGCTCAGTAAATGTCACCCTCCTTCCTTCCTTTCCTTTCACAGCAACATTCTAGGGGCCACAACCAAGTGCTATTAAGGGGTGAAGTAAATGGAGGGAGGAGTAAATGGAAGGAGAGAAAGAAGAGACAAAGGGAAGAAAGTGGAATTTTGTTTAAACTCCAGGCACACTCTAGGCTACCTGCCAAAAGAAAGGGTGGCTTTGCTACACTGCCCCCCACCCACATCATCCCTGGGTTTTTTGGGGTTTTTTTTCCAGCAACTGGAGGGATAATGGTCAGACCTAAGTACGTAGATGAGGAGACGCATAGATGATAAAGACAGGAGAAAGGGTGGTGCCTTTGATAAAGAAGTTAGGGTAGTGCCAGGACCTCTAGACTGAGAGTTCAAATTTTGACTCAGCATTTAGGAACTGCTCGATCTTGACCAAATGACTGCATTCCTGTTTCTTCAATTGGAAAATACTGGCCCTTTTCACCTCACCCAGCTGACCTGAAAATCACCTAGAATGATGCATGGGAATGTGCATTAGAAGCTGTAAAGTGCCATTTACATCACACCCATGGATTTTAAGATGATAATTGCAGACCAGGGCAAAATTAAAATGTGCGGTCCCTTGCTGTTGACCCCACAGCCCATGCAGCTGACTCTGGATAATTGCCTCACAAACTAATCGGACCCTTACAGACCTTTCTGTGCTCTGGACCATCATCACATGCTTTATCCTTGCAGCATGTGACTTTTGGCTCAGCACTCTGGTTTATCTTCAGTTTCATAGTCTGAGCCTTGAGGGAAGGGTCATTTCTTACATTCTTGCTGCAGCACTGTGCTAGTACATGTTTTGTGGTCTCCACAAATATTCCTGATGGATTGAGGTGGCCTCCATGTCATCACTACCCTTCCTGCTCTAGGAATGTGTCTCAGTAAACTGGCCTTTCCCTGAAACTCTTGCTTCAGCCAGCTCCTGGTTCCCACTGTATCATCCCCTCCTTTACTCTCAATCTACTTAGCTCCTTTTACTGTCCATAATAATAATATTGTATTTGCCTGGCACCTCACAGTTTACTGTGCCTCCTCATATATTCATTTAGTCAACCAGCAGGAGTTTATTGAACATATACTAGGTGTCTAGCCTGTGTTGGACACTTTAAGGGATGCAGAACAAGTTTGAATGATCCTTGTCCCTGAGAGGCGTACAGTCTAGTGGCAGTGGGAGTAGGGGAGTGGGGAGCAATAGTTGTCTAATATGAGTGTTAGTTGGGTAACAAATTAGTTAATGGATCAGGCAGTGTAGTGATAAACACACTGAGCTGAGAATCAGAAGGTCAGGGACACGGTTGGGTAGAGAATTTCCTGGCCATAATGATCTGGATTAAATCTCTTAGCTGCTCTGGATTTAGTTCCTTCATGTATAAAATGAGAGTGATGATGCTCAGAATGTCCACTGATCAGGGCACTGATCAGTGAGGATTCAACTAAGGACTTGAAAATTGAGGGTCTTGAATCTATATATCTATATCTATATATCCAAGATATATATATATATATATATTCAAGATAGATACAGATATATAAATTCATCTTTACCACACTGTGAGATTATATATATATACTCTATAAATAATCATATATATTCAAGACCCTGATTTCCTTTCTATCATCTCTCATCTATCTATCTATCTATCTATCTATCTATCTATCTATCTATCTATCTATCTATCTATCATCTATCTATCTATCTATCTATC